CCCCCCCCCCCCCCCCCCCCCCCCGGTGCTGTTAACTTGGTTATTTTCGTTTTATTCTTATTTAGAGTGGTTGAAAAATTGGTCAATTTTGGGCATTGAAGCAAATTTATTCCTGATTTTATTTGATTTTAGATTTGGACACCATTTGGGACAACCACAAGTTTTTCAGTTCTCCTTAACTAGAGAGTTGTAGAATCGTTTTTATTTTTCATGATCGGATTTTTTTTTATTAATTTAACATTTCATTTTTTGGTCTTATTCCTCTGCTTCTCTATTTCCTTTTTTCAGTATTATTGTATTTCTTTTTCTTAAATAAGAAAAAAGCTCCCTTTTGGTTACTTTTAAATTGTGTACTTTTTTTTCTAAAATAAAATATTGGATATTTTGTCCTTATTCTATTTATATCCTGATGATTTTTTCTGGTTACTCTAGAGGTTCTTTGACATATGCTTCTCGGTATGGGGAAACTATGCTTGATGCTTTTCTATGGTCATTGGTCTTACCAAACACCATATATGAGTTACACGATTTGGTTTTTGTGGGGGCATCCTTACAAGGGTGGACAAATGACTTTATGGCTTGCTTTCTCAAGAAAAGAAAAAAAAAAAAAAAGTGATACTCTTGCTTTTATGCCATTGGAAAATCCATGTCTCTGTGGTGTTCTGTTTTTTGATATATATGTAGCTTAATGATGTTTTTATACCATTTGCAGATACTGGAGAGGAAAAGAACTACTGTGGTTAATCTATCACAGTTTACAGATAGAGATACATGTGGCTTCAATGATAATTATGTAAATTATGTCACCAAGCTTTGTGAATTTTGGCACGAGGCAAAAAATGCTGTTGTGATTGATAATCAGGTGAGATTACACACCAATACTGCATTGTGGGCAGCAAAGTAAATTATATTGCAGTTTACTGGATATCATTTTTGAAGGTGTTATCCTTTAATAGTTTTCATCATTGCAGTTTACTTGATATCATCACTAGTATGATTCAGAATAACCCTAATTTTTAGACTTGCATACCAGCTGCAGTTTAAACATGGTAAATGGGAAGTATTTCATTTTGAGTTTTAGGTCTAGTTATGGCTCTATATTATATTTCAGCTTGGTTAGGGCCTGTTGGGAATACTGAATATTCCTGTTATCCACCGAGAAAAATGTAACGGGGTCCATAAAGTGAACATTATTGCAATTACTCAGTATCTAGCATTGTTGCTTGAACCAGTTGGCCATTGATTTTTTATTTTATTTTATTTTTATTTTTATTTTTATTTTTTATATCCGTGAGTGTGAGCCAGCTTTCGTGCACCTCAGCTATTCTCATAGGACAATCGCCTGACCCTACTATCTTTAGTTACCAAGGTATTTAGTATTATATTAAATCTTAGGTAGGTGGCTACCATGGCTTAAATTCATTTCTTCTAAACCCTTTAATTTTTACATAACCCTTCTTGACCACTAGGCCAACCCATGGTGGTTAGTTGGCCATTGTTTTGGATGGTAAAATCTTTAATGCTTCTCCTAAGATTATTGAGGATTCGAAGACAAATAAGATGAGGACAGATTTTCAAGCTTGATTGGGAGAAAGCATTGGACAAAGTGGATCGGGACTTCCTAGATGCCATCCCCAAAACAAAAGGCTTCTGAACACTTTGGAGGAAATGAATCTATGGATGCATCTCTAGTGAAAATTATTCCATCATAGTTAACAAGAAGGATCATGTCATTCAGAGGGCAAGCTTTTTCTATGGATGGGCTTCAAACAGAGTGCAAAACTTTATTTATTTGTTGGAAGACAGAGGGGAGGATCCTTTCTTCTCCAGAGGATATTTTCATAGAAACAGTGGGATACTTCTTTAATCTTTATACGGTCTTAGAAGGAAACTGTTCTATTTTGGACAACATTGATTGGGGCCCTATGAATGAGGACTGGAGTAGAATAGAGGCTCCATTTGAAAAAGAGGAGATTCTTAAGGCTATTAAAGATCTGAGAATCTTGAAGTCACATCTCTGAAAGCAGCTTGGGACATCTTGAAATATGACTAAGTAGGGTAAGATTTTTCTTTTGGGAGTGGTATTATTAACTGCACAAATGAGACATATGCTTACCTTATACTAAAGAAGGATAAAGCCTCAATGGTTTATAACTGTAGACCAACGAGAAGTTTATGACATATGCTTGCCTTATACTAGAAAACTTTGTATGAGGAACACCAACGAGAAGTTTGATCTTGATGAACTCAAAACCATCAAAACTATCTACCCAGTGGAGAAACTTAATTTGAAGAATATTTGGTTTTTGTGGGAAGGGATGGACAGCAAAGCATTTCACCGGTCTAGCAGCTTTGCCGCTGGCCAGAGTACTCTCGACGGCCTCTATATATATATATTTTTTTAATTCAATTTTTCCTTTTATTTTATGTATAAAATTTGGGTATTTCATTATCTTTTATGATATTTAACGGATAATTTTAATAAATCATGTGGTATTTGTTTTCTTGTATGTTTTCATTTGTCAACCTACTATATATTTTGGCATATAAGTAGTTGAAAGAGCCTGATCTAAGAGGCTTTATTGTGTTAATTGATGACTAGTGCTTCTATTCTCTTATTTCTAGTAGCATTCTTCTATTGGATTCTTCTGATTTGTTCGTTTCTTTAGTTGTATTTGCAATGTGATTATGATAGTTGATATTCACTTCAGGATCGCATGGTGAAGGTTATTGCATTTATTTTAACTTTGCGGCCTGATGTCCTTCGGCCCTTTCTCATCATCTCAACTTCCACTGCACTTGGTTCCTGGGATGATCAGTTATTGCGCTATGCACCGTCTTTCAGTGCTGTAGTTTACAAGGGAAACAAAAATGTACGAAAAAACATAAGAGACCTAGAGTTTTACCAGGGAAATCGCCCGTTGTTTCAAGCTCTTATTTGCTCCCCAGAAGTAATGATGGAGGTAACACTTTGCCCCTGTAGTTAATTTATTTTTGATAAATTATTGGATTCTTGTGAAATGGTTTTGTTCCCATCGAATTATATGGCTTGGATGGTTGATCAGATTCCTTCCAACAATGATAACTACTTCATTTACTTTAGGCAATATTTAGTCATAATTTTTGCTCAACTATTATTTTGGATAATATGCTATAAAAGCTTTGGAACTTCATTCAACATCATACTTCTCTGCAGGATCTAGATGTGTTAGACTGTATAAACTGGGAAGTAATAGTTGTTGATGAGTGTCAACGCCCAACAATTTCTTCACATTTTGAGAAAATGAAGTTTCTAAACGCAGATATGTGGCTTCTTGTTCTAGCTGATCAGCTAAAGGTTTGTTCTCGTGAGTGCTTTATTAACTCCTCACCATTTGAATTATAGTTTACACCAATACTTTTTGACTTTGCAGGATATCAAAGATGATTATCATAATCTTCTCTCTCTACTTGAGGGAAATAACCAAGTTCAAAGTGATAATACTTTGAAGACCAATGATGGTGATAACATCAGCAAACTGAAGGAAAGATTATTATATCATACTGCTTATACCTGCACCTCTAAATTTGTTGAGTATTGGGTTCCTGCACGTATATCAAATGTGCAACTTGAGCTTTACTGTGCCACCCTACTTTCTAATGCTGGATTGCTTGTCTCATCATTCAAAAGTGATCTGCTTGACAACATCCATGAAATGCTCGTTTCAACTCGGAAGGTTTATTCTTGAACTCTTACATCATTTTGTACTCGAACCAGTGAAAATGTCTATTTTAATGCTCCCTACCTTTCTTATTGAATGGGATATTATTTTCTCATTGAAATTAAGGGGAAAAGATCAGCTAGATATCATTGTGAGTTATTTTATTTGTATGTTCTGCTGTGTTATTTATTTTTATTTTATTGGAAGACAACTTTCATTATGATATATAAAAGGAAAAAAATAAAGAAACATATTGTTGTGGGTTGCCCTAATGGTCAATAAGGGGTCATGTAAATAGTTAGCTTAGAGGGTAATGAGGTTAAATCATGGTGGCCACGTACCTAAAATTTAATATTTTACAAGTTTATTTGAAAACTAAATATAATATAATCAAGTTGTTTTTCCTCAAGAATAGTCGAAATAGTGGAAGCTGTCTCGAATGCTCACATGTATAATATAATCAAGATTTAATATTTTACAAGTTTATTTGAAAACTAAATATAATATAATCAAGCCTTTGTATTTGCTTGCAATAATCACCCTCCATAAAGCATGTGGCTTATTCGTAAATCTCCATCCCCGTTTGGCAATGAGGTTCAAGTTTCTGCCTCTAAAAGTACCAACTCCCAGACCTCATTTGCCAATGGGGAAGGAGGCAGTCTTCCAATTGACCAAAAATACTGGCAGTATCTTTAGTTGCCCCCTTTCATCAAGAAGTCGCAAATGTATAAAATAACTTTTAATACCTTTGTATGAAGAAGAGCTCCAAGATGCTGCAAAAAGTTCTATCATCGCAAATCTTCACTCGCAAAAATTTTCTGTCTTCCAAGATATGTATGTTCCATTATTTTTTTTTTTTCATTCTTATTCTATCTTGTTTTCTTATATGATATTTTTTTTTTTTTTTTTTTTTTTTTTTTTTT